CAGTGCTGATTGATGCAGTATCTATACATTCTTTCAGTAGAGTCCTTCAAAGAGTTTACCATTTAATGCTTGCCTGGAACTTATACTCTCTGGCCTGGATTCCCATCTGTCGTCTTCCATGTCAGAGAGTGAGGGGTGAGATCCCATTACCCATTCTGCATATGTCTGGAAGTTCTCTCTCCATATGTCCCAAGGTGAGACATGGATTTAAGTCCTTTTTCCATTGCTTTTTCTGCATTCTCCTGAAAGCCTGAGAAGCAAGCTACTTTCATCGGCGTGGCTTCTGTGCAGTCCCACGTGGGACTGCAGTACTGCAGGCCAGCCACCGGTAGGAACTAGCAAGCTCATCAACCAGAATTTTTTTCCCAAGAGTGCCTGGCTCCTTCCCAGGGAGCATCTTCCCGCCCAAAAGTCACATGACCTGGGAGGAGCCAGCACTCTTCCCTCAGTTCTCTTTTTGCCGCCACAAGAAGAGGACGTGTTCTTCAGCAAGTTGACTTTCTGAGGTAAAAATGTCCTCAGAGAAACAAAAACTAGCTTTATTCAAAAAATGCTGTACTTGCGGCGCTAAAATGGCTCAGTCAGATGAGCACTCCTATTGCCTCCTGTGCCTAGGAGAAACCCATAACACGGCGACCTGTAAGGCTTGTACGGCCTTAACACCTCATACCCGTGAAGGCAGAGTGGCGTGTTTGAAGGCTGTGCTATGGGAGAAGACCCTAGCAGTTCCTGACCCTCTGATACAGGGTCCGATGGGGGATAAGGGCTCTAGACCTCCTTCCGTGAGTTCTGCCATGATGACCATACCAGCCCAAGCTGCTACTATCCAGCCGTCCGCGAGGGCAGAGTCTGAACCACCAGACAAAAAGACAAAAAAGAAAAAGTGCGCGCATGACCGGCGTTCGTCGTCGTCCCCCACGCCGAGGATCGTTTGGCAGCATCAATGTCGACTTGGTGCCGACAATCTCCATTGCCTCGGCATCGACAATCTGTCGGTACCAACAAGCATTTGGCATCGAGAGGCCGTTCTCCCCCTCAGCACCTTTCTGCTTCCAAGTCACCTCAGTACCGATTTCCGTCAGTACCGATGATTTTCGATGAGGGTTCCCCGCGGTTGATGCGGTCTTCACCTCGGCACCGATCTCCCTCTTCGGATGTGTTGCTGATTGACTCGTCCTGCCCAGGGCAACGTTACGACACCCTTGACATGCCTCCACCATGGTACCCATGTGCCTGCATACATGCTCCAGAGGGTAGACATTACTGCGAGGCTCACTCTCGTTCTTCTACCCCGCACTCCCATTTATCTTGGTGAGAAGCACTCGATGACAGGGGTTCTGAGGTGGAAATGGCTTCGGACATGGGATCTGACCTCACATTGGTTCCGCCTCCGGAAGATGCTATTGGCGGCCATCACTCCATCTCACCTTCAGAGAATCTCTCTCCTCCTTTGTGGATCAAATAGTTAGGATGGCTAAGGCACTGGACTTAAAACATACATCATCGGAACCGAAGAGGAAAGACCCGCTTATGCAGGCGCTCTTTACTCTGGATTCGGGACCTGTGGCTTTGCCTCTGCTGCAGGGTCTCAAGGAGATTATCTTGGCGGTGTGGACTCACCCTGCGTCTACAGCGCCGTCTGCCAGATGCCTAGATGGTCTTCATAAAGTTATAGACTCTGGTTGTGCTTTTCTATTTCAGCACCCCAAGCCAAACTCCTTGATATCAGAAGTAATTCCTGCTCGTAGCAGATATGGGTCCCACACCTCTCCAAATGACAAGGAGGGGTGCAAGCTGGATACACTGGGGCATAAAATTTATTCCTCTGGGGCCATGAGCCTTCAGGTAGTAAATGTTAGTGCTGTCATGGGTTTATACAATGGAGTACTTTGGGGGAAGTTTATGGCCTATATAGAAGCTTTACCCCAAGATAAATCCTAGCAAAAGCTATTGTTGAAGAGGGTATGCGTTTAGGTAAGCAGCAGGTGACCGCAGCCTGCCATGAGGCAGATTACCATGGCAGAGCAATGAGGTCAGCGCTAGTACTTTGCCGTCATTCATGGCTGTGCTCTTCCGCCCTACCCCCAGATACCAGGGCTAAGCTGGAGGACCTTCCTTTTAAAGGGAAGGAGTTATTCAGTGACGAGACCGACAAAGTGTTGGAACGTATTCGAAATTATAAGCTACAAGCTAAATCCTTCGGGATAATCGCCCCTACTACTAATCAACCTAAAACCAGGTATTGGTCCTGCCCGTTCCATAAGCCCTCTTTTAATAGACCTTTTCTATATTCAGAACCTAGGTTCCAGTTGCAGCACTACCAAAATCCAACCAGACCTAGTTATCAGCAGCCGTACCAGGCCAGACACTCTAAACCTAGACCGTCTCAGGGTAATAGGTCATCTTGAGACTTTCCTTCTAGGAATGGGGACGCCCAGTGACTAACAAGGAGCCCCATGTTTGGGGACCGTTTGTCCATGTTTTTTGATGCTTGGTTACGCATCACTGATGATACCTCGGTTCTGTCAATAATAAATAGAGGTTACTTTTTGGAGTTTTCACGTTACCTCTGTCTCCTTAATCATTCACAACCACAGGCCATTGCACCGGCAACTCAGTCCCTACTTCATAAGGGTGCGATAGTCCAGATTTCGGACTCAGATGAGTCTCCGGGGTTCTACTCTCCCTTCTTCCTCATAGACAAGAAGAATGGGGGGCAGCGCCCAATTCTAAACCTACGCCAACTTAATAAATATTTAGCGAAGGCCAGGTCACTCATGATTTCTGTGCAAGAAGTTATTCTACTGTTGCACAAGGGTTGCTGGTTTGTAAGCATTGACTTAACAGATGCTTATTTTTATATCTCTATTCACGAAGATTGTAGGCGATATTTGCGCTTTACACATGCTGTGTTAATCTTCCAGTACTCTGGGCTCCCCTTTGGTTTAGCATCAGCTCCCAGGGTGTTTTCTAAATGCCTGTCTGTGGTGGTGGCTCACCTTCGCTTACAAGGGTGTACGAGTTATCCTTATCTTGAGGACTGGCTCCTTGTAGCTGATACCAAAGAGAAGTTGTCTGAGGATCTCACTCTTACCCTTTGGACACTTCAGTCCCTGGGATTACTGGTGAACCTTTCAAAATCCATATTGCAACCGTCCCAACACATTGAGTTCATAGGCACCACCCTGGACGCAGTTTTGGGTACCGCCTTCTTGCCCGTCAACCATGCACAACGCATCAGGCTGCCGGTGCTGGCTTTGTAATCCTGTTGAAGGTGTTCAGCCAAGTTTATTCAATGTCTTTTAGGCCACATGGCAGCCGCCACTGCTGTAACACCATATGCTAGACTGCGCATGAGGCCGCTTCAAAATTGGTTCCTCAGGAACTTTCTGGCACACACAGATGACCCTCACAGACACCTCACGGTTCCCCGAGCTATACTCAGGGAGATGCTCTGGTGGACCCACTTACCTCATTTACAAGCTGGGGTTCCCTTTGGTGTCCAGACTCATGACATTCACTTGTTCACAGATGCTTCCCTCAAAGGGTGGGGGGTGCACTGTGCAGGTCATGAAGCTCAGGGGCATTGGACAGTGGCAGAAGCAACGCTTCACATCAATTTATTAAAACTCAGGGCAGTAAGGAGAGCCTTCTCTTCTTTTGCAGGTCTCCTTCAAAATTGTTCTGTGCTTCTACACACAGACAGTACTACAGTCCAATACTACATAAACAGGAGGCACTGCTTCGTTAGCGCTCACCAGAGAAACGACCTTTCTCTGGAACCAGGTCATTCAAAATGCTGCACACATCATGGCCATATACATCACAGGCCACTTGAATGTAGAGGCAGACAGGCTCAGCAGAGTTTTCCAACCAGTTCAAGAGTGGTCTCTGTCACACACATACCTAGAGCCACTGTTTCAAGAGTGGGGCACGCCCCAGGTAGATCTTTTCACTTCCCCGACAAACGCAAAATGCCCACTGTTTTGCTCCAGAGCTGCCACAGGTGTGGGGTCCCCAGGGGATGCATTCCAGCTTCAATGGAATGGCTG